GTGTGTGAAATAGGATGTAGGCAGTTGTACTATATTACTGTAGCACCTTCGTTTCACTGATAACCTGCTCCATTTAACTTTATCAGACTGACCTTGTTCATCACGCCGACAGTGCTGAATTGTTAGAGGTTACATTTCTTGGTAGTTTCACATTTCACCTTTTAGGGAAAGGGACAGTTTCTCGGTGTATTGGAAACCATTTTGAGTAATCTGTGAGTTTTTTTCTTGTCAGTTTGTTACGTTTACGACTTTTTAAAGATCTTTTTACTATGAGTGTAATTCGTCTGGTCGTTTTCCTGTTGTGTGGTCTGAACTTTTGTGATTATGCCTTTTCTTAATATTTCTCACTGCCTAGCGTCAGCTGAGTTCATCACAGCCCTGGTTCATTGTAATTGAGCCCATATTGTGGCGTCCAAAAGAAACATGAAAATGTAATCACGCAGTCATCGTGTTAAAGGCTCGCACTACCCGCTCAAGCAGCACACCAATTTAAAGCTTAATAAATTCTACATCATCAGACTAATTAATTATTCATCTATGTTAAGAGACGCCTAAGATATGGTCACTCAAAATTGACCTTAAGAAAAAAGACTTGGAAAAATTGTGCAAAATCAAAGAAACGTAAAATAGTCGTCGCACGTGTATTGAGGAGCATCAGCATTGATAGAATGGACATACATTAGATATTCAATGAATAGAAAATCTTGTCTCTGTGATAAACACTATTTTATTACGATATTTTGTCACAATAGTTTCAAACCAAACTGAAAACAGGGCAATCACAAATACCACGCAAAACTTTTACTCAACATTAAATGTGCTCATTGGTATTTTGCTTTGGAGCAATTGGCTTTGCGTAGTTCTCGAACTCCCAAATGTCACAGAGAGTTGCAAACAAAGGGTCAGAATTGAGAGCAAAGTCGCTTTTCTGCTGATGCCTTTTCTTGGGACTTCACACACCTATAGGATTCATATCGAGGCTATTTACTGGTGATCACTCCAATGATAATTTGATCTGGTTTTCCAAGAATTGTCCAGGGGCATTGGCCTTTAAGAAAGTGCTTTGCTATGCATGGAGTTGTCTACTCGGATGACATCATGACGAAAATAGGGGTATGACATGACGCGATGTAGTCCACTACACCAAGCCATCCGGTGAAGGTGGTTTTGTTCATTCCACACTAGACCACACAAAATCATGACAGTTTCGTGGACTCTTTTCCTCACTGACAGATTATTATGTTCATAATCTAACTATCACAGTCAATGTGCAAAAAGGTTTCGTGATCAACACGAAACCAATAGCTCCTAATCAAAAAACAAAATTAAAACTAATGAACCCATGTAACTGTTAAGTCTAGGTTTATTATTATTATTATTATTATTATTATTATTATTATTATTATTATTATTATTATTATTATTATTATTATTATTATTATAGTAGAGGGTTTTACGTCATATGAGCGCCAAGGGGTGGGTGTCAACAGAGAAGTCTTTACAGGGAATCAGACTTACTCTGCTCACCTCTCTAGCTTCAACAGTACAAGGTCTGCTTCAACTATCAAGGGACCACGGAAATAGCAGGTCACAAGAGTGACAAACATACAAAAGAAGTAGAGGAAAATGACAATAGTAAGGATTAGGAAAGAAAAAGCAGCAGTTCCCTGTTGTAGATCAGGCTTAGTTATGAGCGTGACATGAATCAGCCCTTACTCTACTGTGCTTGAATAAGAAATGTCCCCCCTTTGGAAATGGCCTAAAGACACTACAGTCAGTGGCACTGCCCCGGGGGGAAAGTCCAGGTTTGGTGTTGTATTTGTAACTGCCCTGTTTTCCAATCTTTTTGAAACTATCACCAGAAGATGCAGTTCATTGTTGGACAATAATATTCTCTTTTCATTTGATATTTAATAAAAGGCCATTCCTCCAATGTTGATGCACCTAAATATAGGCGCGAACACACTTTCACGTTTCTCTGATTTCGCACAATTTTGCCAAGCCTGATTTTTTCTTTTTTTAATCAATTTTGAGTGACCATATCTCGGGCGTCTCTTAACATAGATGAAGTATTAATGTGTCCGATGATGCAGAATTTACTTAGCTTTAAATTGGTATGCTGCATGACCTGTAAGTACAATGCTATAACTCGATGATCGAGCGATTATATTTTCAAGTTTCTTTTGGGCGCCACTGTATATAAAGCAAATAATGCGCTCTTATTATTACATAGGTTATTCAAAGTAGCCTCGATGTATAAAACGTGGTATGAAAGATTGTATACTACAGTGATCCACTTTTATTTAATTTAAATCCAATGGAAAACATCTTTGAAAACGCCGTCGGGGGGATCTGAATGATATAGAGTTTTACACCATATTATAGGAAAGGCATCAAGTGTGAGAAGAGATTGTTTTAAGAGAAACTCCATATGAGATATCAAGCATATCATTGTGGTGTCGGTGGCCTAGTGGTTAGACTCTCGGACTCGCAACCGTAAAGTCGTGGGTTCGAATCCCGTCAGGGACCCGACGTTGTGTCCTTGGGAAAGGCACTTTGCACAAATTTTCCTCACTTCACCCAGGTGAAAATGGGTACTCAGCTATAGACAGTAAAAGAACTTGTCAGTTTGATAGTGTTTGAGCGCGTGAAATCCGCAGCTTGCACTGTATGCTTCCGCGGAAGCTGAGAATGTTTCTGAGTGTTCTCAGAGGGTCTGCTGGAGTAATAATGGTTGTAAAGCGCATAGAGCAAGCTCTTGAGCATGGATATGCGCTATATAAATGCAATTATTATTATTATTATTATATCGATTCATCTGTGCAGGTGGCTAAATAAAAATTGTATTGTCTGCGGAGAGAGAGAGAGACCCCGAGAGAGAGAGAGAGAGAGAGAGAGAGAGAGAGAGAGAGAGAGAGAGAGAGAGAGAGAGATCTAGTTATCGAGTAAATAGCATCTTAAATCGCATCAAGCGGCATAGCGGTATCGCCTTTGTGTGGCACGGGGTAGAAAGGTGTGGCTTAATTCAAAGCAACAATGGATAATTCGAACTAGAGTCGTTTGTGTCTCAGTCCATCGTGATGCCAGCAGTGTTGTCCATACCCGTTCTTTCTCCCTACAAAAGTAAAACTGAGTTTGCTCAAGAGATCCTCGGGTTTAAAAATGTTTTCCCCACAAAGTTTTTTAAATTTTTGTCTCGAACCTATAGGCAGGTTTTTTTCAGCCCTTGTAAGAAATGAAAGACAACATTCTAGGTTCTGTTAATTTATTTGTTTTCCAAACACACCGAAACAAACCCCCAAGACGACAGGCCGGTCTGTATATCAATATAAAACAAAATGAATTCAATTTAGCCTTGTGATTTTCACAAGTCACGTGGTTAGTGACTTTGAGATTGACCGGGAACAGATTAAGCCTGTAAAGACATGGTGGACCCATACATTCGATCAGCAGCGCTGCCCAAAAGCCATGTAGTGGAACATTTCGAACCCGTATGCATGAATTTAAAACACAAAATTTCCTATTTCATAGAATGCATAAGTGTGTGAATACTGATATTAAACTTCTTTTTTCAAGCATGTTAAGTGACCAGAATGCGTGTCTTCAAGGAATTAAAACAGCATATGACACCGTTTAGTCTTTACTTTCGTTTGTTACATTGTTGGTACATGTATTGTTCTTGTTTTTAAGATAAAGCTGTAACCCAGAATCATCATGATTCAATGGTCAAGCCAAAACTTAACCGTCGCGGCTGCTGCTGGTTTGGCCGTCACAGCGATGCTTTACCTGGTCACTCGGAAGAGACGTCAGGACACCAGGCTCTATGAGCTGGTCGGCGAGGTTGCCTCATTGCACATATTCCCTGTCAAGTCGTGTGGAGTGGTCACCGGTGATGTAGCTCATTGTACAAAAAACGGAATGCGCATGTTTAACGTAATGGATAGGTAAGTATTATCATATCCTTTTAATGTCCATGTCTCTTTATAGTGTAGACTGGTGTTTCCTTGATTTGGATTCTTCTTTCTTACCCACGGATGAAAAGAGTTTCCAAAGGCACGTCTTATTGTTATAACACGATTGATAACTTCAGGGCTTGCCAGAATGCATCAGAAATTGAGGAGGGGGGTGGAAGGGGCGAGGGGTAAAAGGGATACTTTCGTTTTGTGAAACTTGTCTTGGATATTGATATGCTGTCAATGTCTCTATGTCTTCAAAGAAGCTTTACACAAGACGTTTCGGCAAATTTAAT